TCTGTCTGGCCAGAACTTGCCATGGCTGTTTCCCTCACTCTGTCCAAATTTCTGTTAAATATCAGCTCATCACTGAGATATTCCTTGACCACCCAAATGGCCCTGCCACCTGTAAAACCTGCTTCCTTTCCACATACACGTGCACGCATGCCACTCTGTCCTCTCACCCTGTTTTATCTTCAGTGGTAGCACTTTCCCTACCTGGCATGGTATGATTCATTTATCGGTGGTTTATTGCTTATGTATGTATACTCCACAACACAGATTTTTTTTTTGATGATCTTGTTCATTACTTCATCCTCAGCTCTTAGAATAGGGCCTGGTATACAACAGGCAGTCAATAAATACTTTTTAGCACCTCCTTATGATGAAGTCAAACATCTTGGTTATTAATTATTGTATACATAAGCTAGATTCATGTAAATATTAGATTAGGTATGTGATATCTATATTTTAAATTTCTGAAGGTTAGGAACTAAATCTCATCTTTCTCATTACCTCCACAGAAACAAAAACAGCACCAAGCACATAATAATGACTTTTTTTATGTGTATAATTCTTGATTTTGTCTTTTGATTTGGACTCACCATTGGGAACCATCTGGGGGCCTTCTTATCAAGCGAATGCTCAGATATGTCAGGCGTTCTTATCTTGAGGCCCATAAATAGAATTTAGAGGGTTCGTGAGCCTCCTAAAATTGTGGACAAAATTTATTAGGTATTTGTGTTTTCCTGGGGAAAAGGTTCATAGACTTCCTCAGAGTTACAGAAACTCTATTCCCTAAAGGTTGAGAACCACCAAGCTGCCCAGAGACAGGTAGACTGTGGGTGACCCATGCACAGGGGCAGGGCGGGGCTAAGGCGAGGAGTCAGGAAGAGGTGGAAGGAGGTTGGGAGCTTGGGAGGAAGGGTGGCAACCTTCCTTACTCCTCAGGACTCAGGCACCCCTACTTAGCAGCCCAACGATTTCACACTAAGCTTGTGGGCGGAAGAGAAAAATCTGAGACCGGGTCTGAATTCTCGTGATAGACAACATCTTGCATGCTACGACTGAGGAAGAAACTGGACGATTTGGTTTCACTCCCCGGGTGTTCTGACTCCTCAGCACACCCCTGGGAGAGGGCTCAAAGGCCGTGCAGGTTGCCCAGCCATGCCCTGCATGTGGGTCACAGCCAGGCCAGGACAGACGGGTCACAGAAGCCTTCCTGTCCCTGTCTTTTCTTGGCAGTACTCACGTCCCACTGCATGACACTACCTATGTCACCGCCTTGTATTAGCGTTAACTGTTATTTTATTATTTCGACTTTGTGTATGTATACTAGACTCAACCCGAGTCAAAACCCTTGCCAAATAGCGATCACGGTGTCACATACAGTCGTACTTAACGATTAGTTTTCAAGTGAATAAATGACAATACATGATTGTAAATAACTAAGTAGCTGTATTTGCTACTTTCTTCAATTTAAAGAGCCAGGGAAGGCCCGTCTCTTAATAGCAAATTGTTTTGGAACTTACATTAATATCAATGAAGCTTTTTTAGTTTTAAATCTCTGTGATCATGGATTAAGAGCTAAGGCAATGCATCCTGGCCAGTAATTCTTAAGTTTCGCGTGATAATAACTTGGCCTCACGCAGTCCTTGACGGCTGATAAAGTGTCAGCACACATTCCCAATAGTCATGTACTAGTTCTCAAACCTAGACGGGAATCAGAGGGGGTTCCTTGATCTATTTCACCGCTCCTTTGGGGCAACCTAAACAATTTAGGTTGATTTCCAGAGAAATAAGTTCCCCAGCTCCCTTCAGGTTAGGATCTGATAGTGTTCTCGGTTACTCAGAGTCCTCTTCCTGCTTTTTAAATCTGTCTGCTCTGATTCTATCTTTGGTGGGCACTTAGATAAAACCTGAGGAGTTAATGTTTTCCTGGCAAAACCTGGAGGAATACTTTGCTGTTCTTTCCCTTCTTTTATGAAGAGTGGAGATCTGCAATAAAACAGGCTGATCTGCTTTAGCCAAGGGGCCCGTCCATGGAGGACGCGCACATCTCACTGATGTTGCTGTTTGGTCTGAATGCATAACAGGACAGGAAATATCCGTTACAGACAGACGACCGTCAGCTTAGAAAATGGTCTCATTGCAAAGACAAGTTTCCAATGAGCCACAAAGGTTGGACGGGGAAGATTCCAAAGGCTTGATTATTCGTGAAGATTCTAGAACCACACTCTGTCCAAGGGGAGAGTGGTATGTCTTAACTTTGACAAACACTACTCATAAAACCCAGGGCAGCATCACAAATGGTAACAGGGAAAATATTGCAAAGCTAAGGCTAAAATAAGGGGTGTTGGGAAATGAAAGAAACTTCCAGGACAGCAGGGCACCGGCGGTGCAAGACGATAGTTCTCATATTGTGGGAAGGAAAAAGCAGCCGTCTGGGGACCAGGGTCAGCCCCACAGGGCGGCATCCCACACCAAATGTCCAGCGGACAGCCAGTATCACTCTGGCTGCCACAGTGGTGGCTTCCCACCACTGTATTCGCTTCTTCAGCTTGTCGTGGATGGGTACTTGGTAAAATGTGGAAAGTGTAAACAAATTGACCCAGTAGCCACCCTTGCCATGTCTGCTCACACTAGTATTTAAGAGGTTGGCAGACAGCATTCCTTGTGGCAATAGGCCAGGAGGATTTAATAGTGAGGACAGAAAATGTCCGGAGTAAGGGACACAGTCTGGAAGAGAGGGATGAGATACAGTCACAAGGACACTCAATTTGGAGCAGACACCAAAAGGAAGCAGGGAGTTTGAGGATGTTCACACTAGGGACACCCAAAGCCAGTTTTGCTGATACCAACACTTTTTCTAGAGATGGCTCTGTTGGGAGTTTCTCCAATTAAATTGAGAGAATCACAGAAACGTCTGTGTCTGACCCAGGGCAGGCTGCCCCTCCTCGTCTCTCCTGTCACCATCGTCCCACCTCCTTTGATCCCTGCCCCTTCTCTCCCAGGGATTAAGGTTACTTGAATGACCAAAGGGCAAGGAGCGGTGTCAAGGAGCAGCTCACGAAGGCCCCAAAATATTTAAGGATCTCTGTTGTACGTGTCTGCCTTGCTAAGTAGCTCACGGACGTGGTGTACGTTATCCAGCTCTCTGCTTCCGAAATTATCAAAAATCCATATGGCTGTTTATTTAGCAAGGTCACAAATATTGGGCATCACCATCATAACTATTTGGAAGAAATCCAACCTTATATCAACATAGGAAATGGAACCCCAAAGAGAGAGGGATCCTGCAGCCGTTGTAAGAAAACTACAAGATGAGCTCACGAAGCCTTGAGAAGGTGCTCGATGAATGTGTTTGGCCCCAAGTGAAAGACACTAAAAGACTGTGTTTTTATTATTTTAGCAACATCTAGCTCAGCCAGTTGTTTCAAATCACTTCTTAGAGTTCTGGTCTATTAACATACAGATGAGAATTCTGGAATTTTTTTTTTTTTAAGTAAGAATTCTAACTTTGCTATATCGATCCAGTAAAGTGACATTCTTTTGATTACCTGGTGAATTATGAAATAAAACCAGATTGAATCACACGTTCCGGACTTACTGTAGCAAAAGGCAACAATGAGTGAATTAACCTTGGATTTCAGTCCTAGCTGTGCCACATACGAGCTCGGTGGCCTCCAGGCAAACCACTTAACCTCTCTGAGCTGTTTTTGTTTTTTCATTTGTAAAAATCAGGATTACAGTAGTTTTCTAAAGAAGGTTGTGTGAATTAAATGAGCTTATATCTGAGGAACATGCTTTATATGGTGTAAAGTTCTATAAAAAAGGAGGAATATTCCCTACAGTGTCTCAGATTAATATTAATGGGAAATTGGGCAGGTGAAGAGTTGGTCAGACAAGAAGAAGGTGGTAAGAGGGGGGTTCCTAGAGATAGACTTATTTTATATAGATTTTTGGTCCTGAACTCTAAATTAGATCAGAACTGGAGTCTATTAGTCAATCAATAATCAGTAACTCACTGAGCACAATATTTAAACTGCAATTAGAGTATTTTCCTGGGAAGTGAGGCACGTGGCAGGAGTAGAGATAGTGGACTGAGTTGCTGTTCCAAGTGGTAAGCAGGTGAGTTTTAAGACAGTGGAAGTGTTGAGGGGTAGAAGAAAGTCTGTGGGTGAACCCAAGGAGTCCTAATATGCTGCTCCCTGGTGATTGGACCCTGCGTTTTTTTTTTCCAATGTCATTTGTTTCACAGAATCTGAGACCTCCTTATTAACTCCTAAGGTGGAAATCCATTTGTAGGTACTGAGAAGCTGAGCTGGGACTTTGAATGATTACTTTGTGTGTGTGACACTCCTCCAGCAGAAACCTGGACAACCTCATGGCAGCCCTGTTTGTCCGGGTCACTGTTATTGGTGTTCAGGTTCCAGTGACCTAAATATCTCAGAACAGCTCTGTTTACTGTTTAGCTGCTCAAAACACAAGGGCGAGTGAAAAACCCAGTGGAAATGTATCCATGGAAATAGGTGAATAATAATTCCATTTGCGATGCGCAGTCCTGATGGGAATCACGTAAGTAGCTGCTGCTGAGCTGTGACACATTCTTTGGATGTCGGATGGACTTTTGTTTTTGTGAGCTTCCTTTATTCCATTCCCAGATCGGAATTTCATGACATGTTATTTGCAGAAGTCACTTCTCTTTTAGGACTGCAGCCACCAAAAATTTGCCCTCTGGTTGAGTGTCTTTTCAATGACTTCCTAAGCAGTGTGGCAAAGACTCCTGCCGGGGTTTCTCCCCTGTTCTCAGTGCACCCTCTGCAACGACAGGACTAGTGTTTGTTCATTCTGTTCCCTCACGGTGCTCTTTAAATAAACAGTGATGGGATGGAGGGGGAGGAGTAGATTGGGTTTTGAGAGTCGATGAGAAGTTTGGAAACATAAATAAGGCACTTTGGACTTTTCATACAGAGGCCATCGGTGTTCTATGTTCGCTGAACTTTCCCCTCACTCACCCTTGCATGATTCAGCCACACTGGAAAGACACTATCTAGGATCTTGGGATAATGAGTTCTCAATTGCAGACAAAGAGGGTACAGAATGCCAAAAATACCAACTGGAAAATAAAACACAAAAATGGCATCATTAAGTTTGTTTTTAATCAGAGCTTTCTAAGCTAACTAAGGAAACATAGCTCCATAAAAATACCTATTTTAAAGCTATCATTAATATATATATATATATATAACATTACATTATAGGAATGTAAAATGAAGAAAAAAATTGCTTATCGTAGAATTGCTGTATCTGCTCTCTCTGGGGATCCCTCAATGTGCTAGTAAGTTGGGGATCAATTATTTGTCACCGTGGTAGGCAGAGAAGATATGGATAAACAGCATTCACAGACCATTAGTCATTTATTTTAACCAATGACTTCTTTCTCTAAACTTCCACCAGGAATGCTGAAAGTGAGTCCATGGAGTGTCTTGGGACTTACTTGTCCCTTGCCCACCCTCTAAGTAGGTGTGGCAAGAGGAAGCAGGCAGGCTGGAAGTGAGGATGGGAACGCCGAGTCCCCAGGACAACGCACGAGCTGGTTAACTGAGAGGTGGGTCTCCACTGCTCAGGACTTTGAACTGATCTCCCTCCTCTGGGGCTCCTTGGCTGTCTCGTCACTGCGTCTGTCCTCTGTGTTACAAAGTTAATGCAGAGATGGGGAAAACCTGCAAATCTTCAGATCTTCCTATCTTCTGAAATTTCATAGGCTCAATTTCTAAGTCTTAAAAATGAACAGACTTCATCGTTAATTAAAAAAAAAAAAATCTTGGCCTGAAGATGTTCTATGGGGGTGGGGGGTGGAGGTGTCCTGCCAGGTAAACCTGGAATGCCATTACTGCTCCGTTATCTGAGAACTCAGTAGTGTTCGGAGAGTTTCATTTTGCATTCAAGTTTGAAGTCTCAGTGCTATAGGAAGCAGGACAATGACAGGTGGAAGAAGGTAGTCATTTCTAATTACAGGCCCCGCTGGGCAGCCGGCAGGCTTGATCTCAGTTTGTTTCCATTCCGGCTAATGAACGGAAACGCGAACAATGTCCCAGAAACGTGGACAGCATCAGCGCACCGGCTTACTGTTCCTTGCTTCTTCTTGAAGTGCATTCATTTCACAACATGAATGGGGTGCCTACTGTGTACCCCACACTGGGCTGGCTTTCTCTCCTCAGTTGTCTTTTCCATTGGCCAACTTTGAAGGTTGCATACCTTTTGTAAAAAACATCTTTAATTTGATGGTTTTCCACTTGCAGAAGTAACATATGCCTGTTGTAGCAAGTGAAACACGATGTATAAAAGGGATGATAAGTCATCTCCCTCCGAGGTTCCCTGTCCCCATCATCCTGATGGAGCCAAGGCTGTGTCAGCTGTACTGTGATTAAGAAGGCTCCTTCAAACTTCCCCATCAGATAGCAACAAGGATCTTGTATAAGCCTTCACAAAGGGACAAAAGCTAATGATAAAGCTGATCAGTCACGTGCCCTGTTTCCCAAAGACACTGGGCCACGTGGTGCAGTCAGATAGGACATCGATGCGGATACAGTTGCTCTGGGTCCCAGGAACGGGCTCCCAAACAGCCTTGATGCCCAGGAGAAGAGTCTGTTCACATGCATTTGTCTGTTGTATTGCAAACGCATCTTTGTGACTTACTGCGGATACAGGAAACGCCAGTGTGGTGAAAAGCAGGTCTCTGAACGCAGTTAGGAACTTAATGCTTTTTCTCCCTTTGATTCTTTTCAGCATGTCATCCAAGCAGGCGACCCATAGAAAACAGCCTGTACGAGCTAAGTTCATTACAACAAATGAGGGCATTTTCATTTGCTTTAATTAATACCTTCTTCACTGATGGAAAACTTCATCCCTCTGGGAGCAATGTTGACACGAGGGGGAGGGGGCTGCTGGGCTCTTTTGGTTGAGAGCCAATTTCTGGGCCGGGCTTCTAGCTCATTGGGTCCTGACCTTGCTTGCAAAAACTGATTGAGTAAATTCGTTTGGGGGATAATAATGTGTACAGTGTTTAGTGTAATGGACTTGAGCTGAAATGGAAACAAAATAAAGAGTCGGCTTAAAAGGAGAATGGAATGAGATAGATATGTTGGCGACACAGAGGTGGGAAGAGCTAAATAAGCAGCACAAGGACAAAGAGCCAGACGCAGTGGGGGGCACCGTCGGGCATCCTCTGGGGGGAAATGTTAAGAAAAATGCCTCGAGGTGAAATCTCAATAGAGAAGCCAGAACAGGTTCACGAGCACCACGCGGAAGCTCTGTGCTCTCCCGAGAAGGACACACCAGTGTTCTCTTGAGGGAGGAGCTGATGTATTTCCTTCCTTCCAAGGGGTGCCTGGAGGCCTTACAGAGAGGACCTGGCTGAGGGAGTGATTTGAATCCACAAGGATAAACCAGACCGTGGGTTCTGGTGGGTTACTAAGTCCTGTGAGATCTCCGAGGCCGGGTGAAAGAGAAGCAGGGTCTTTTTCAAGGAAGGAATATGACACCATGGGCAAACGTTGCCCACTCTTACTGTTCTGCACGCTCCCATGGCTTCTCATTTAAGGTCTGCTGGGTTGGTTTTGAGTTATGCTCGCGTTAGAATCTATGCCAATCCTTGAAAGCTCGGGGCTGGTACAAGAGGGGTATCTGAACTCTCCTTTTAGGGTATGAGTCAGGCAAGTTCTGGAACCTGGGGGAGCTGGGCTGGTGATTGAGCAAGTCGGCTGTTGGGGAATAATCTCTGAGGTCTGGACTCATGGAAAGATCTAGCAGAGCTGGCCTTGTGCCTCTGGGCTGAGAGGGTGGGCAGGAGAGGACACAGGGCTGGATTGGACCAGTGGCACCCACTGCCCAGGAGCTTGTGAGAAATGTGGGACCTCAGCCTCAGCCCAGACCATGGAATCAGAATCTTTGGAACTGAGGTCCCAGAGAAGGTTTTCTAACAAGCTCTCCAGGCCATCCTTACATAGGCTAAAGTTCTAGAACCACTGGATTAGACATAAATTTAGCATTCAGCAATCTTACTGACTACTCAAAGCTATAATAACTGATTTTTTATTCAACACTTGGTATGTGCCAGGCACTGAACTAAGCTTTTAATTCTCATAACAACCTTATTATTAAGCTCCAACCACCACTATATCACAGATGAGGAAACTGAGGCACCCAGAGATTAATACACTTGCCAAAATTCCATGACAGGTAAAGGCCAAAGACAGAATTTGAAACCCAGAGTTTTGTTCTTGAGCTAGACTTGAAAAAACTTTTTTTAAAACAATTATCAGGTTTCTAAGAATAGTTCTGATAAAGGACCAGGGGAGGTCAGGAGAGAGACAATTCTCTCCAGGTGGGAGACTTAAAAACAACCTCAAAAAGTACCGATGCCTGATTCCCACCCCTAGATGCTCATTTTATAGGTCTGGGTGCGGCCTAGGCGTGGGGATTTTTTCAGTCCTCCTTGGTGACTCTAATCTTGAGCAGCCGAGGTTGAGACCACCTGCCTAGAGGAACTTGCGCTTGGCATTTCAGACCCAGCCGTCTCCAGAGAGGTAGGGCTGGGAGATCCGTGTAGTTGGGACGAGACTGCTGGAAAGAGAGAGGAGAGAGGGCAGAGGGCAGACGCAGGACGAGGGTGTGGGGGAAACGCCCTCCTCTAAGGGACAGGGAGGTCAAGAACCCCATGGGCCCTAAGGAAGGAGGAAGCTTCAAACTGGAAGAGGGTGTGTCAGGGAGGGGTGGGGCGACAGTTCGAAATGCCAAAGGAGAGGGGCTGCTGCCCCAATCCTCGTCATCTGCACGAGGGTGTTAGAAGCAGCAGCCTCCCCGCAGGCCTGGTTTCACTTCCAGCTGCGGGGCCACAGCAGGCTGCCGCTGTGGTCAGGCCGAGCAGGCGAGGGGCCCGTGCAGAGGCCGGCACTGTTGTATCAACACGGCAATTAATCCCGCCCTGCGCCTCTGCCAGGTCTTCCCTCTTCCTCTGCCAGGTCTTCCCTCTTCGGGGAGAGGCCGCCTCCACCCAGCGTGAGGAGCCCATGTGACCGGCTTTCCTCGGGCCAGGGCTCCGAGAGTCGTCATGAGTCGAGCCCGTCCTTTCTCTTGCCTTTCCTAGTCACACAGCGTGCAGATCGGACTGGAGGAAAAGAACGTGTTATTCAGATCCTCCCGGCTTCTCCATCGGTACGAATCTGCTCCACACTGCAAACTTGCCAGTCACCCCGCCTCGGCCCCAGCTCTCAGGCATGTGTCACACGCGCTGGCATCACCGTGTGTGAGAGGTGGCCCTGCGGCCGTCGAGTTTGCTCAACACTGACCGGGCATTGTCTGTATCGACGAGGGGTATTCGGGGAGCCCCCACTTAGCCGCTCAGGAGGGAGGTGGCAGGGAGTCGCCCAGAGAAAGAAGCAGACAGGAGCTGATGGACACAGGAGCCGTGTGGGCTGAGCTGGAGCACTCGGTGGGGGCAGGGGGGCTCTGTGGGGAGGCTTCCGGGAGGGCGTTGAGGACACGTTTGGATCCGCTCACCGAAACCCACAGTCTGCTCATTCTCCAAGGACAATGCAAAGCAACGTTTATAAAACATGCACAGAAAGAACAATCGAGGGAGACGATGTCAGCTGTTAGGGGCTGAACTGTGTCCCCCAGAAAAAGGCACATGTTGAAGGGTCTTTAAAGAGGTAATTACGTTAAAGTGAGGTCAGTACGGCGGGCCCTAAAATCTGACTGGTGTCCTTCTCAGAAGAGATGAGGACACAGACGCAAACAGAGGGACGACTATGTGAAGACACAGGGAGAAGACTGCCACCTGCAAGCCACGGAGAGAGGCCGCAGAAGGACCCAACGCTGCCCACACCTTGCTCTCAGACTTCCAGCCTCCAGAACTCTGAGAAAATAAATTCCTGTTGTCTGCGCCCAGTCTGTGATTCTTTGTTAAGGCCTCCCTGGAAAACTACACAGTTGCGGTAAAATATGATAACAACAACTGGTCTTCTTGTAAGAATCTTAAAACAAAATTACTGTCATTTACATTTTTCAACTATTTTGGCAGCCCAGGAAAGCAGACTTCATGGCATCTTCTTGTTCAAAGTTTATTTCAGAGCTTCTGCTCCCTGATTTGTCTTGTCTACTGGTTCTGCCCTAATCCTCCTCTAGTTGAGTGTTCTGTGTCTTTTCCTGAGATGCTGCTATTCTAAATTCCTTAGCTGTCTTTCATTTCTGTTGCTAGCTGACAAATTTACCACCTGCGACAGAGCTGAATTGACATTTTTTAATAACTAATGCAATTTAAGAAACTGTAGCTAAAAGGATATTTAGTTTTTACATTCGCGCGTCTTCACAAATCCACAAAAATCTTCAACTTGTGGAAACTTAGCCTTTCTAAGTCATCAAGTTTATTTTCTTGCCGTTAAGCCAGAACCCTCTTAAACTATCCCAGGAAATGAGAATTTCTTCTATTTAAAAAATAATTCCAGAGAGGGAGATTCCACAAGTTTCCTGAGCAAAACATTACAGCTCTTACTCGGTGAGTCAAGTAATCCGACGCCCAACTCAGGACTGTGTGCCTGACTCAGCCAGGCTGGAACTCTTACTCCTCTCCTTGGAAATGATGCAATACCTGCTGCGGAAGACGATTCCAGAATGAAGCAGCAAATGGGAACGAACTGCGATGAGCACTTTATATAATGGCGGTGGCTGTGTCCGGGGCAGGTGGCAGCCTTTGCCAACTATGTATCTGTATACATATGCAATGTACCACTTCGACCATCATTCGTGTGCATTTAACTTCCATGAGAAACTGAGATTAAAGGCTGACATAAAGAACACAGGAGAGGAAATAGTGTGGAGAACCCAACTGGGAACAATGAGGATAAAACATGAGACCAAGAGCATCGTGGGACGTGTTGGAAAGAAGTATAAGAATGCTTGGCCAATGTCGCAGAGCTGATGACAGCTGGCTGCAGGACAGCAGCAGGACACGTGTGGGATACAGTACCTTACGGGTGGGATGGGCTTCCCTCCAAAGTGGCTCATGCCGGCTAGGACCACGTTCTGGTCATTTATTCACTCGACCAACATTCATAGAGTGCTGGATAGGTACCAAAAATTGTATTAGGCATAATGCAGGCCAGAGCAGACTCTATGTTGATATGTCTATATTAGGAATAAGGAAAAGAAGTAGAAGAGGAGGAGGAGGAGGAGGAACCTTTTCCATATATTTACTATTTCACATGTAGGTCAGTTTCCTTGGGAAACCGAATCTGAGATTCGAGGTGTGCTGCGGGGTGCCGGCCGAGGCATGCGCTCAGAACACCCAGGGGAGGGAGGGAGCAGGACTGCAGCGGGGAGGCCAGCGCAGCTGTATGGAGTCAGCTGATCCCGTAAGCAGCTCTGGAGCAGAGCTGGCCCTTCAGAGCTGTCCTGCAGCAAGACCCTTGCACCCTACACCGACCAGTCACTGGATGTAGCAGTCCCAGGGAGAGCCCTATGCCCTGGCAAAGGCAGCTGGGGAGGTGGAAGGATCCGGCTGCCTCACCGCAGTATCCATACACATGAAGAAACTGAGGCACAGAGAAGGTAGGTAACTCACTCAAGATCACACAGCAAGTGAGCACAGCCAGTGTTCTGTCCTCGGAAGCCAGGCCTTCGATCGCTCATCTCCATACTGTGTGTAAAGAAACTACCAAAATGCTGTCATAGTTGCTCAACAATTATAGATATTTTATTTTGGGTGCTGGTGGCAACTATTCCTTATCAATCCTTATCTCTCCAGCTATCCGAGAGCATCTTTATGAGGCAG